TTTTTTTTTTTTTTGTTTAAGGGGGGGGGGGGGGGGGAATAGAGAGAGATGTAAAATGTTGTTTACTGTTTTATTGTTTCATGTGACACTTCTCAACCACACAAGCAGAGCATTAAACTCCAATTATGTGTCCTCATTTAACAGGTAAGCAGAAACTGTTCCTGTTGTAAGAGCTGTTACATGGATGTGTAGCTCAAGTTTAGACATGGGGACTCTACAGAGGAATGTCAAATGTGCGGGTGAGCTACAAAACAGCAGCCATATAGACACAGTGAGACGAAACACTGAGAACTTAGAAATATTACTCAGAAACTTGTTCTTATTTTCACTGTCCACAGGCTATGTGCATACTGCAGCTAATTTTGTGTTTTGTTAATTATGGATGCTCACAAGTTTGTGCATGAAGGTGGTTTTACTGGAACAGGTGGAGAATTTGTTACAGTTAATTTGCAACATTTGTCAAATCATTCGGGGGAAAAAAAGCAAATTAGGACACCCTAAATTTACGAGCATGAGCATTAGGACACCAGGTATCTCAGGAATGTTATTTGTTAACTTGTATCAAATCAAGACCGGCCACAGCCATGTGCACCCACAACTCCATCCTTGTTTTCCAGCCACCAGCTGTTCACAGCCATTGCTCACGTGATGCCGGAGAGGAGCATATGGTACCTCAAAGCATCTGTTCAAATGGACATTTCTTCTGCAAAATATTGAAACAGTGGGAGGGTACTGTCACTACTGTACATACTGTGTAGTCATCAGCAGAACTCAGAATTTAACACTCTAAAGTTGTGATTTTGTTTTTACACCAGAAACTTAAAATACTCCACACAAAAGGAAATCTTTTGACAAGCATTCACCACCAGCAGGCTTGAAAAGAGGCTCTGAAAAGTTTGTAGCACTCATTTATGTGGAGGACGTCAGCAGAAACATTTCAACACACTCCCTCAGCATTATTTTCTTCTCCGCTGTGATTCTGTATGCTCTATGTTCACTGATATTCAAAAACTC